ATTCTATGGTTCTATGATTCTATGAAAATTCTGTGCTGGGGCTGCCTTTTCCTGTGTGGGTCTTTTTTTAAAAGATAAACAGATCTGAAGGTTTAAAAAAAAAATTCAGCTAATGAAAGCTTCCCCCCAGTGACATCAATGACAGTAGTAGGAGTATTAGGAAATAGTAAGGTCATAAATAGGATTGTGTTGGATTTTTATGTTGTATCTGTCAGTCACTCCTGTTGCTATGTGTTTCTTAAAGTGTGGGCAGTCACTGTAACCAGTTTGTGGTTCAGACATTTTTAGACTACTAAATGATTAATAGAAATGCTCCAGACAGTCAAGTATGATGATGGAAGAGGGGAAATAGCTGTGCATATGTATTCCCAGTGGAACGGCTGAATTTATCTTGGGGTAAGAAATGTCATGCTCCTTAATAGAGCTTTACATTTTATGTCTCAAGGTAAAAATGCAAGTGCTGTAACTGACTAAGCTGAGTTTCTTGCTCTGTTTAAAAGCAGCTCTTAACTATAACATCAGTTTGAAACCATATATGTAATTTTTTTATAATCTGTTCTAGAGTAGGGGATTTTAAACACTCTTGATAAAACATTCTGCTATGCTTAAATCATTGGTAATAAGAGTAAGATGTAAATGTTTTATGTGATAGTACTAAAAGACTGTTACCTTATTTACAGCTTTTTTCAGTGCAGTGCTTGGAGAAAATCTCTTGAAGAAGGTCCTAGAAGTTGATACAATCTTCCATGGTGTTCTGGTGGAAGTACGGTAGAAAGTCTTGTTCATAGATGTGAACATTGCAGAAGTTCAGGCATCTTCTTTTTGTTAAGTGCTGAAGCAATCCAGAAACCGTTCTTTGAATTCAATTTCAATTCAGACAACAAAGCCAAACCTTTATGCATGTTCTTACAGAATTTGGCTTTTCATAAACAGAAGGTGGATGCTCCCTGTGACAGTACTGAGCTGCTTTTATTTAGTTGGTTTTTGTTGTTGTGGGTTTTTCTGTTTGGTTGGTTGGGTTTTTTTTTTTTTAATTAGCAATTTCGTATCTTTTCCAGGGCCTGAGAAATGACCTGAAGGCTGCTTTGGATAAGATTGACCAGCAGTATCTGAATGAAATTGTAGGCGGCCAAGAAGCAGGAGACGACGACTCACAGAATGACTTGAAAGTCCATGAGGAGAATACTACTATTGAAGAACTGGAGGTATGGGATGGGTAGATTTTAATTAAGGGATTTTAGATGTTGTATATCATTACATTGTTATGAGAAAGCTTCAGGATTGTTTAAACAAAGTTATCTTGTTTCCAACATCTAACTTAGGCATTCTGAAAAGTCATTAAATACGCTTTTTTAGAAAATTTAGGGTGCCTGCAATGGACATGTGAAAACTCAAGTGGTCTTTGTTTACAACACTGCATCAGAAAGGGGGCAGGAGTTACCTACAAGGAAAGTGATACAGTTAGGATTCCTTCGGCAGGGATTTTGGAAGTAGGGAATTTAATAAAAATACATTGTCTGGTCATAAATTTTGAAGCCTTTCCAATGAGTATTTGAGAGGCTAATAAGCTTTGTACCAATGAATTTTCCTTAAGCAAGAAAGATGGACTCTAAAAAACAGACACAGGGAAAAATGTTTGTCCAGGAAAAAAAAAAAGTGGACATCAGAAGTAGGCAGATCACAGGAAATAAAAGACTGTGTCCCAGAAACTTCGGTGCAAATGACTACTAAGTTATGGAAGAGCACCATGGTGTTTGTGTAAGTGAGCAGAGAATGAGTGCCATGGAATGCCTTCAGCACCTGGTGTTTCAGCGTAATATTTTGAAAAGCACATTAACTTGAGCTGAAGACTTTCACCCTTAATCTTCCAAACTTTGCAGAAGTTAATCTTCGTATGATCGTTCCAAAAGTGTGTTTAAGAAATAATCTGATTTATAACTGAAGGCTTAAGTGAATATGTTATTATTAGGAAATAGCCTTTGGCTTTTGTGTTAGGGTACGAGGCATTCTGGTATAAAATAACGGTATCCATTCTGGAACTACCAGGTGTAATGGAGCTGCAGTTATCAGTCTGTTAGTTCTCAAAGTAGCCCTTTTTGAGGCAGTAGCACAGGCTTGATTTGAGCCATGAAAGTAATCTTTTTCTCAAAAGTTTGAAAATACTGCAGTTTTAATTTTTTGCTTCTTTAATTGCATTCCCTTGAACATAAAGGGTTACACTGAATTTGGTTACAAATCTAAGACATTTTTAAAAATAAAACACTTTGTAAATGTGAGGATAAGGGAAAGAAATTATAAATCCAACTATACCTACTGGAAAATGTTTCTTAAGAGGCTGTTAGGATTAACAGTTTTGTGGTTTTGGCAGGAAGCTAGAGTATTGGAGTGTAGTATTGGGGTTTTTTGGTGGGTTGGGGTGTTTTTTTTTAGATTTGTTCCCTCAATTTCACAGTTACAATTAAATGAAGTGGTAAAAAGCCCCAGTACATCAGAGAGTTGAAATAGCTTAACAAAATAATTAGGTTAATTGATGACTTTGGGGATCTCAAAAACGCAGTACACCCACGGTTCCCCTTAATACAGTGCTGTCAGACAGCTGCTAATTATGCCAATAGTTTAGTAGCTAATGAATGAAAAATTACGTTTGCATTGACTTTTCAGAAATAATCATGTTGGCTTTTTGACTTAAGTATTTTTAATAGATTAATGAATCTCAGTAACATACTTAGGTTTTTCAGTCAATTTCCTAACTGGTGTTTTGGATTACTGGTGGAGTTTATTACAGTTCGTGCTGCAGTGGATCATATTCTGCTGTGGTGGTGGCAGCAGCAAACTTCTAGACAACGTGGAAATAATTACCTTTTTTCTCCTGTTCTAGGCTTTGGGAGAATCCTTAGGACGGGGTGATGATCACTATGATATGGACATCATAACGAAGTTCTTGAAGGTAACAAACTCTGATTTAGTAAGTGAATTGTTCTGTAGCCTGTGTCATATCTTCTGCTGCCACACAGATACATTTAGTGAATGGAAGAGCCCGTTCCAGCTGCTTGGAGAGAAAAACTCACATGTTATGCTCAAGATGTGTTTTGGGTTTTTTGTAAAATGCTTGGCACTCCACAGCCTTGGTTAGTCACAATAGTGACTTCTGCTAGACCTGGGAAAGAGCTGTTGGGAGAGCAACATCCTTCAAAATCTGGTCCTACTTTTCCAGACAAAATAAATGTGCTTTTAATTTCCGTATGATAATTGAGGCAGTTGGATGTAGTTGCTTCTATGTACTACTGTGGCATTAAAAACTTCCGAGGAGTCCTTGCCTCCCTTCCCCAGGAACAGTGCAAGCTGAAATGAAATGTCACCTGGTACTGTTATGAGAAATAAGAGAATTCTAAAGGAAGTCCGCTGGCTTGGCTGAAGAAACAGGTTCAAGTGGATGGTAGAAAATCTTTTTTTCTGTCTGGCAAGAAGCCTGCATTGCCTATCATTTGAGTCAGCCAGTCCCTGTGTAACTATTGTGATGATCAGAAATCACAGCAAGAGTTGAAGCTGTCATTTGTGTATGTCAGATACGTTGGCATTTTAGTATAGTTTGGGCAGTCAGACAAAGAAAGCTCAAAATTGTTTTCCAGGTGGAGTGAAGGTATGTTTGACATATTTGTCTTCCATTGTGTTGAATTTTCTCTGTGATCTTTACTGTTCCTTAAGCTCCTTCGCAAAAGTTACCCTGAAACATCAGCACTCTGCTTAGATTTCTGCTCTTTTTATGTACTCCTCCTCCATCCCAGCCCCGATGCCTGCACTGCTGTTTCCTTGTACATGCCTTTTTATACATGTTCCTCCCTTGCCCACGTGTTTTTATCATAGGAGGGTTGTTCAGTACCCCTCCTTGCCTGTGTCTCTGAAAGAGACTTCTTGCCTTTTTAATTCAGATTTCTCTGAAAAAACCCATTTTACCTTGGCAGCTTAAGCTCCTGTTCCCATCTGTTTTGCCGAGGTAGTCACTAGATGGCACTGTGACATAAATCTGCTTCTTCCTCCTACAGTTTCTTCTTGGAGTTTGGGCTAAGGAGCTGAATGCCAGAGAGGACTATGTGAAACGAGGAGTACAAGGGAAGCTGAACAGCGCTACTCAAAAGCAGACAGAATCGTACCTGAGGCCACTCTTCAGAAAACTTCGGAAAAGGGTGAATCACTTTTAAATGTCACTGTCCTGTAAGACTTATTTTAACTTCTGCTTTCAGAGTACCCAGTGGTTAGTGCCCTTTCCGAAGGTAATGTTATCTTCACTGAAGAAGAGAGGATAAGTGGGTTGGTCAGAGTTTCTGTGTTCAGAGCCCAGGACTCCCAGTTCTGACCTCTTTACCTTGACCAATGTATTCTGCCTGCCTACCGCTTTTCCAGGTGTTGTTTTTCCACCTGTTCACTGTGGTTGCAAACATGGTAGAGAACTGGGATTGTATTTTGCACTTTGCCACGAGCTACTAGGTGTAACCACTTAACCTCTGTTGCTTCAGATCCTTCATCTAAATAATGAAGGTGTTTTCCTTTGTTAAAGTCCTCAAGCTAGGGTAGGTGCTAAACTTTGTATAAATGCTGAGTAGGATGATTTTAGTGAGCTGCTATTCACAAGTAAAGATGTCTTTTTTTTTTTTTTTCTTCTTCTCCTCCTGTAGACACTTCCTGCCGACATCAAAGAATCGATAACGGATATTATTAAATTCATGTTGCAAAGAGAATATGTGAAGGTATGTTTGTTTGCACTCTTCTGGCATGTTCAGGCTGTCTGGTTCTCATAGATAGTTTATTACTTCAACATTTTCTTTTTTTTTTTTTGCATTGTGAAGACACATAGCTGGAAATACACACAGCATATATTCAACCAAAATGAAAAATGGCTCTTAAAGGCTAGGCTCCAGGTAGTGTTTGATCCACAGCCAGTCAGAAGAGCTTTTGAGGCTGGTGAAACTGTAGAGCTTTGCAAGCATGAAGAGAATATTTCTCGAAGGTGCTTATATTAAGTTGCAGAGGAACCCTGTGTGGGTAACCTGATATTGTAAGGTTAAATGAAGGTATTGGATTAATAGTAATAGGGTGTTGATTAATTAAGTAGGAATTAATTGAGGTGAACTGACATACTGAGACACTGTCCCTTTCTTTGGCTATGGTCACATTAGCTTGGCTGGTAAGGTTGAGGTAAGTTAATGAAACGTTTTCTGGACAAAGTCAGACTACTGGAGGAGGCAGAAGTACTTTGGCAAACAAGATCAGAGGCAGTGTTAGGGTTTTTTTGTAGCTGCCTTCAGAAGTGGAACTCAAATACATTTAGCATTTGCTTAAGCAGCTTGTGTATGCAGAGAAAATTGAGCTGTGTTTTGCCTTTAAATTTCTGGTATTTCTTATTATTGTTGTGAAGACTTGGGATAATTTGTCAAGTAAGCAAGCAAACCTGCTTTTGCTACTGAAAAAACTTTAGATGGCCTAAGGCAAGTTTAATCCAAGTCATTGGAAAGTAGAACTGAAAGTGTGGGATGTATGATAGTGGGCTTTTGTTTTGGGGCTTTTTTTTTTATTTTGGTTGTCATCATTACATTGAAACTCCCTTTCCAATGCCTTCTCAAAGTAGTGAGTGTGTGGGAATGTGGTCTATCTTGTGTGTTAAGCCAGCCTGCTCCTTGCTCCTAGACATGCTTGGCTTTATGTAAACTTCACAGACTGATTTTGGAGGAGTTGAGTACACATTTGGAGTTTTGGGGGGTTTTTAAAATTAGGTTAATGAGTCTTGTGCTTTTAAAGATACTCATATCCTTTTGCATTTTGCTTCCTGAGAGACTTGTCTCTTTGTGCATGCTGTTGTCTTCTGTGCTTTTTTTGCTTTGTGCAGCCTAGTGAGTACTGACAGCCACAAATTCTTCCTGCTTTGTTAGATGAAATGCTCGAAAGGTTTACATTTTGAAATCAACATGTGACAGCAGGCAAATACCAGAATGCAAGTTGTCCACTCGACCTTAATTAACCTTGTTGTGACAGTCCTGGAAGGGTCTTTAATTGCTTGTTCACATACTGTGTTTCATCACAAAACTATGTTTAAGTCAGCAAGTGAATATTTGACTAAGGCTGTTCAGATTCTGCCTCATGTAGGTGAAGGCTCACTCCTGTCCATTCTTCAGCTTTGCTCTCAGCTCTGTCTGTAACCCCCTGCCGTGTTCATTATTCACCGCGCAGTTTGCTCAGTGCCAGTTGGGAAGAAACTGCACCCACTGGTCATGATTGCTGCTTATTGTGTAGTCTCTAAGTGGGAGATGATAAATGAATCCTCTGTCTGAGTCATACAGCTGCTCGCTAATAGTGGCGGGGGGAATGTCCTGCTCCAAGTCCTTAAAGCTGCGTTTCTGTAATTGCATATATGTGCCTGCCCTCCTCCGTTCCTGCTTTTCAGTTGTCATGGCTTTTTTAAGCTCTATACTTCTCTTCCTTTCTCCTTTTCTTTCTGTTAATTTTCCCTTCAGGTTTTATCCCTGTTCTTCCCCAGGAATGTTTGTTTGCTGCAGCTTTATGTTAAGAAACGGGATCTGCTCTCTTGATGGGGAAATTTCAGATTCATTTACTGCTGTGTGACTGCTCTGTTCATAAACATTGTTACAAATACAATTATTTAACCCATTTTTTTAGAGAGCTGTTTCTCAGCCTCTTTGGAAGCTAGCTCCTCTCCCCAAGAGCTGTCAGGCTCCAGTGCACTCCTGTGTACCGGCTGACCTGGGTTCTGCGCACACAACGTGGACCTGCCATGGGCTGCGCTTACAGCCAGGCTCCCTGGTCTAGTCTGCAACCAAAACGGCAAGGGTTGCAAAGGTGATTAGAGCAGAAAAGCAGAAAGGCTGAGCTGACAATAGTCCCAGGAAACTTCAGTTTTAATCAGTATCAGACTGCCTTATCCAGTGCTTGCTTTCATCGCCTTATAGATAGTCCATAGTCGTTGCTTCTCTCAGAGTTCAGCATAAAAGTGAATGAAGGAAGGTGCGTTGTAAAATTGGTTAATATTGTGCAATGAAACCTGATGCAGAGAGACTGGGATATGCGGTGTTGTATCTGGCAATACAAAAATGCTCAGCTTTCTGATGTCCTGTCCCTTTTGCTAAGTGTGCACTGTATTCCTTCAGGCAAACGATGCCTATCTTCAGATGGCGATTGGAAATGCTCCCTGGCCTATTGGTGTCACTATGGTTGGCATCCACGCTCGAACGGGTCGTGAAAAGATTTTCTCCAAGCACGTAGCCCACGTTCTCAACGATGAAACTCAAAGGAAGTATATTCAGGTAACGTTAGCTTTGGAAATCCAACAGATTTGCTTTTGAAGTTAGGGGATCTTTGAGAAATATTTCTTACAGGTGATGTGGTAAAAAAGACCTAGAAATGGATGGTCGCCTTAGTTTGGGTCAAGCACAGCATCCATTTAATAGGCAGCTCATCCTGGACCTGAAGGCTCTTCAGTGTTGGGCTCGGAATGGAGTCTGATGGATTTTTCTATGTCTTAACTGTTGTGGTCCTGTATGAATGTCCAAGCAGCTATGAAATGAGTTCCTTCACTGCTTAATTCATGGTTTTAACATCACGCATGGAATTTAGTGCCATGAAATACAGTCCCTCTGAGTATTTCTGCAAATAGATAAATGCATTCATTTTTTCAAACATGTTTCTTTAACATTGTGGGCTCAAAATTCCAGGTTTAGTTTCTCCTGTGCATATTCCATATTCATATTCATATTCATGTCATGAACTTCTTTTGCTTGTGGAATTAATAGCAGCGGTATTTTTCTTTGATGTTTCAGTGTAGTGGGTGGCCAGGTCTGAGGAAATAAGTCTTCTCTCCTTATATTGTTAAATGTGTTTGCCTCTTGCCAGTTGCACTTTCATTGAGATAAAGACCTTCTGGCTTAACTCTAAAGTCTCGAGAGCAGCATCGTGGAGCTCAGAGCTTCTGGCAGGGGAGGTTTACATAGATGTCTTCCTGCTGCGGCAGGAGTACTCTGTTGCTTTTCAGCTTCTGCAGATGTCTGCAAGCCTATTGCTTGTAAAGTGCAACTTCTCCTTCTACCTTGAGTCTCTTTGTATTGAGGCTACAGGTATAACCTTTGGTTTCTCTTCAGCTATCGTTTTTAACATTGTAACTTGTGAAAATACCATCATGAAGTCAGAGGAAGCTCCAGACACTTACAGAGACAACAAATTGAATTCGACCAGTTCTTTTGTAAGGTGAAAATTGGCATGTGGATTATGCATTTTCAGAGACAGGCTACAGTTAGTGTAATGCTTGCTTGGAAGCATTTAATGGATGAAATAGCTTATGTTAAGCCAAACAGTTTTGTTGATAATCTACATTAAAAAAGTGTTTTGAACTCTGAAGGAAGATTGTGGGTCTCAGCATGGCCATAATGGTTCTTCTGCAATTTTGGTGAATAATTGGCCGTCTGTGTCCATTTGCCACGCTTCTAGCAACAAGATCTCTACTCTGTAGTGTTGCTTGATCACTCTTAACATACTCTTTGGAAGATATAATGTATATGAATTCCCCAGTTTCTTCTTTGCTTTTGGGGGTACTTCTGTCAGTCAAGGAAATCTTCACATTCATCTTCCCACTGTGAATTTCATACCTGTGCTTCTGAAGTACACAACTTACTGAGGAGCCAAGACAAAGTTGGCTTTAAACACGTATGTTCTCCATGTTGGTTTTAAATACTAGGTCTTGTTTAGCTAGTCTAGTTCAAACTGGAGCATGGAATATTATCTATGCTCCCAGCAGTTACATCAAACTAACATTTTTCTGATTTACAACGAACCTGGGATCGTAACATCCCAAACAAGGAGTAATTATGGTGCTAGGACATGTTTTCCAGACTTGCCTGTGTTCAGAAGGCCAAAGCATCCTCTGAATCATTCTTCCCTTCTGTGAGGAGCCATCTTCCATTGTGAGCATCTAATGACAGACTCTGCCATCTTGGAGTACAATGTCACTCCTAAATTACATGACTGCCACAGCAGTTTTCTTTCTTATTAGACTTTTATGTGTGACTTGAAAGAAAATAATCACAGGGTTTCTCTCACGTTTTTTGGCAATTGATGCCTTGAAAGTACTGAAGAGAAAAGTCTACATTCTGCTCTTCTTCTTGATTACTTCTTCAGTTTGCCTCCGTGGTGTGGGTCAGGTGTGGTGCCAGCATGGGGAGGAATGACAGAGAAATTGGTTGGTTCTCATAGCTGTGCAGCTTGTTTTGGTGTGAAAGATTGCTTTTTCCTCTATATAATTATTGATAATATTCAGGTTTCTTTGAAATATCCTTTATTGTGATGGTGGTGTTTTCTCTGGTGCTGGTGAAGAGGGATTAATTTTTTTCCTGTGATCCTTCACTATGAGTCTCTCCTGAGGGACTGAACCTGTGGTGCTTTTGGTTGTGCCACAGGCTGCTCTAACATTGGAGATAACTTGGCACTTTGCAGGGAGAAAGGTTCATAAAACTTGCACTGGAAAACCAACCAAATTTAAAAAAAACCCCAAAGAAACCCAAAATAGCAGCCATTTGTCTTGAATTCTTCTTGTTAAGCTTCAAAATACTGTAGAGTGTTAAGTTTGTTTGACAGCTGCAGTTTTATTACAGAATTGTCCTTGTTTTGTTAATTCCTAGGGGCTGAAGAGGCTCATGACCATTTGCCAGAAGCACTTCCCAACAGACCCATCGAAATGTGTGGAGTACAATGCTTTATGAGGCTCTGCTGTGTCCAAGGAGTGACTCATATTTTGATCTCCAAGACCCAGAGAGGATTGAAGAGACAGAGTTTGTGCTTTAACACCACCGGGAACTTAGGGTGGGCTTTGTGAAAAAGCATAAAGCAGCAGATTTTCGACACCTTCTTTTTTACGAGCCCCATTTATTAGATTTCTTTTTAAATCTATGCTTCATGCTGAACACATCCAATATACAGCAGAGGGGGATTTTTTTGAAGGGGGTAAGACCAGGACAATGATAAGGGGACCATGAATATGACCCTTGTTTTTATTTCAGTTTGTCCTTCAGGGAACTGTACAGGTGGAACTGTTTCCCATACTTTCAAGCTTTAGGTGAGACTCAGCCCTGCAGGAGTGTATGTGGAGTTTTTTGGCTGCATTTCCACTGGAGACTGATGTGGGGACATGATTAGAGGGAAGCAGCTGAATCTGAATCTTGGTTATTTCTGTAAATATGAAGACTTTAATGGCTTATCTTTCATGTGGTATTTATCAGGAGGAAAAAAAAAAGTTTATATATTTCTCATCTGAAAAATACAATCAGACTCAGTGCAAAGAGTTTTTTGATCTTGAATGCATCTGATTTGGCTTTTCTTTTTTTTTTGTAACAACATTTTTAATATAAACCTTCTGGCTTGGGGGAAGTAATCTTATGGCTCTTGCGGCTTTCAAATCCCATTTTTATACATCTGGAGAAAATTTCAGTCTGCTGGGCATTGCAGAGAAAATAATTAGGACCTCCCATGACCACGGACAGTATTTCTAGCAGCCACAAATCTTTACCATTGTGCATTTTGACTGGTAATGGCAAAGAAATTCACAGAAACAATGACGTCTAATTCTGCATAGGCAGTGAAATATTGAAACTTTGTTACTGGTGCAAGCTTAAAGTCTTAGGCTAAAGTTTTATATAATTACAAGAACAGCAGTACCTCTGCAGCAGCATTAACAGGTCCTTCTCTTAAGGAGGCCTTTCCAGGACCTACAGTGATGCTCCAAACAAACCGTTAATCATTGCAGTGGCTGCTAATCGTAGAATCACAGAATGGTTTGGGTTGGAAGGGATCTTAAAGATCATCCAGTTCCAACCCCCTGCCATAGGCAGGGACACCTCCCACTAGCCCAGGTTGCTCAAAGCCTCATCCAGCCTGGCCTTGAACCCCTCCAGGGATGGGGCATCCACAGCTTCTCTGGGCAACCTGGGCCACTGCCTCACCACCCTCACAGGAAAAAATTTCTTCCTCATATCTGATCGAAATCTGCCCTCTTTCAGTTTAAAACCATTACCCCTTGTCCTATCCCTCCACTTCCTGATCAAGAGCCCCCCCCCATCTCTCCTGTAGCCCCCTTTCAGCACTGGAAGCTGCTCTAAGGTCTCCCTGGAGCCTTCTCTTCTCCAGGCTGAACAACCCCAACTCTCTCAGCCTGTCCTCGTACGGGAGGTGCTCCAGCCCTCTGATCATCTTCGTGGCCCTAATAACTGCTGCTACCCACATTCAAGAGAACCCAGACCTCGCATCTGTCTGGCCGCACAGATCTGGTAGAGCCCATACGGAACCCACTCCTCTGCTTCTGGAGAAGCCTTGTCAGTGGAGAGGGGAGGGTCTGGTCCTGGCTGCCCGGGCTTGGATTCAGGCAGATGTTTGAATCTGGTGTCCTGTTACCGCTCCCATGAGGCAGCAGGTCTTCTGATCCATCTGGTGCTCATGGACTCCGGACTTGGGTTAAGCTGCTGCCTGGTAGGATGTGAGCAGAACCACTCCTGAAGAAACATGTTTTTGTTCGATGTATTGTTTGAGTCCTGACCTTGACTGGAAGCATGGAGCCAGAACTGGTGCCCTCTTTGGAAGGAGTTGCCCATCTCCCATGTGTGTTCACCATGTCCCGTGGCACAGTGAGACGTGATGGACTTGTGCTGGCAGGGAGTTTGGAGGAGTATCTTGAGGAACTTCAGGTTCTCCTGGAGACTCTGGGTTCTGAAGTGCCTCTTGGGACGCAGGAGTTTTTCAGTCTGGAGTGTGTGACCCCAGAGAAAATGTCAAGAGATCAGACAGTTTAGAAGTAATAAAAATGAGGCTGACGAGACCTAACCAGTGCTTGGGGAGGAGCTGTTAGGGAATAGACGGGTTTTTGTGGGGAGAAGCTGGGCAGATGTCAAGAGCATGGAAGAGTTTCATTAACAGTGGTGTCTGGTGATTATTATTTTTTTTTTTTCTGCAGTGCTCTATACAGATATTCTTTGGAGACATTATTACAACAGGAAACATTTATTACACCGCAACTTCATCCCTCTCTCCACCCAGATGATTTCCTGAGCTGTTTCTAAATCTTTGTCCTGACCTTAGTTTTGAACTCTGTAAATAATTGAGGGACAATGTTGTCCCTCATTCAGAAGAGCTATAATTTCCCTGGAAAGTGCAGCACGTGAGTAGCCAGGGGATGGTTTAAGGAGCATTGTAGCGTCTGCTTTAGAGGGAACTGGATTCCTTGGGGCATCTTTAGTAGGATTAGATTTTTCCCTCCTGCTTTACAGCTAATTATTGAGGAGAGTTTTAATGGTACCCTGTGCACTGGTTTGAGTGGGGATGTGCCTCCTGGAAGGATGTGAATTTGGGATTGGAATGTTTTAGTCTGATCAGGTTTTAAAGAATGTAATTTAAGCAATGTGCCTCCTTGCTGACAGTCCCTGAAATACAGCCGTCTTGCTTGAATGAATCCCACGGCGGAAGAACTTTATCCCTTTGCAATTTGTGGAATGGCGCTGCACGGGGAACCGAGGAACTGAGAAGTACTTTCTCACGGCATATCTGTGTAAGAGTTTCCAGCTGTCCGGCACGTGAGAGTCAGCTTCGGTCTTCAGGGGATCGCAAGGCGGGGGGACATTGTTACAGCAGCTGCTTTTCATCGTTGGTTAGAGGCTCTTTGCAGCTGGATGGCCCCAAATTACAGCTACCAGACCATGGTCAAATAGTTAATAATGCCTCTTAACCAAAAAAATCCAGAACTCACCCGAGTCTAGTGTAGGGACGAGTGGGTGTGTCACAGCTGTCACACTGCTTAACAGTTTTTGTGGGGAGGGTATGTTTCAGTTGAGCGATTTAGACTTTTCCCTCTGGGCTTCTCCAGATGTTTATTTGTGATAATTCTTCCATTAGGTGGAAAGAACTCGGCTGAATCCAAAGACGTGTAGCCTTAGGATGAAGTCATGCATTCACCATAGCGATGTCTGGAGTGTTTTTAGGATTTCAGTGCCCCGGTCATTTGTTGCAGCCCCCCACCTCTTCCCTAGCCTGGCGGTGGCAGGGGCTGTGCGAGGTGGTACTGTCGAAGTACGCGATATCTGCTGTATACTGGTGTTATCATGCCTGGTGGTAGTTAAGTGCCCTTAATTCCTTATTCGCCCTTTGTCCATACCGCTGGAAAGGCTCTTAGGGTTGTATGTGGGATCAGTTTATTTTGATGGAGGAACTGGGTTCCTCTCCTGCTAGCTGCCGTATAACCTCCATTATAGATCCCGTCTTGCCCGAAGAATGAGCCTGGCTGAGATGGAAGTGGCTTCACTTCTCAGGAGGAGGTGAGTGCTTCGGCTCCTGGACCCAGGGGATGAGGACATGACGTGGTGCCCTCCAGGAGGGCTGGCGCAAGGGTGTTGACGCTGGTATCACATCTGGAGCAGGCTCGCAGGAGCGTGGCTCCTGATGTATTGAAGGGCTTGAAGAGGTGCCTGTAGCTGTATCAGAGCCAGTGGCAGTAAATCTGAGCCAAAGTCCCAGAGTTGGGGGGGATGTCTGAAAAACATCATCCCTGCCATTTTGTCCCATCCCAAGCTTTTTTGGGGATTTGCTACACAGGATTGTCCCCTGTGTAGCGATGCTGGGTGATGGTTCAGGGCCAGGCTGGATGAGGCTTTGAGCAACCTGGTCCAGAGGAAGGTGTCCCTGCCCGTGGTAGGGGTTTGGAACTAGATGATCTTTTCCTTTCTAGGATTCTATGGTTGGGATGGTCTCGGGTCCGGGCTGGTGCCACTCGTGGCTTCCTGTGGCGTGGGCAGGGAATCAGGTGGGTGATACAAGAGATGCTCTGGGTGGAAAGTTGCTCCCTGGACAGTGGGAATAAATGTAAAGAATGGGAAGCAACTGCGCTGGATGCTGAGAAGTGCAGAGGGCTCCTGCGTGGAGAGCGTGGGGCTGTTTGAAACCACCTGCTGTTTTGGGAGGGGTGCTGGGCAGGGGTCCCCACTGCCCATGGAGAGGGAAATGGTGACATTGTCATCCCTAACCCCACGCAGGGGCTGGGCTGCCGGCAAGGCCTCCTCTGGAGCTAGAGCAGCAGCTGTAGGGGTGGGTTTGATTAAACCAGGACATGGGGGTTTCTTCAGGAATTTAACCCAACGAGCAGGAGGTTCCTAGGAGCACCTGGGGTGAGCATGCCGGTGCTCAAGCCTGTCCTTCGGACCTTGGCATTGCTGCAAACAGCCTTGTAGCTCCTTAGCATCCAATTTGTGTAAGTGAGCATTAATTTTAGTTATTTTAATTTACGTGCGTTAGAAGTAAATATTATTTTCATGACTTTGTTTCCCACTGTGGTGGGAAGTTGGTTTCTTACTGCCCGAGACACCTCCTGAGACCAGTGCTCGAGAGAACACGCACTGGAGCGAGCAGGGATTTGCTGAGCTCGAGCACTGAATCCCAGGGGACCTCTGCAGGAT